ACAACGAATCATTCAGTCCACCACACACACAGACAAACATACACACGATGAAATATCCGTTAACTTGTGATCCTTTCCTCTGAGTCATTTGATTGTAAAACCTGCCTTGAGAAAGGTTACCCACGGTAACCGAAACGGCGAATATAATTCTCTACCAACGTCGCGGTGTTGTTAACACTATAATATTCACAATAAAACAACACATGGCACATCCATTTTTCGATACACTTCTAACATCATTTGGTCACGATGTTAAAAAAGAGTATTTTAGCTTGTTTTTCAGACTCCTTATATCTTTAACCGAACATGTTGGCGCTGATAGAACTGTCTTTGTTGATGGTTTTTCTTCTAAACATTTCGACACCCGTGATAGTTTTCCTGATAGGATAAATCGTAAAGAAGATCACTGACGTGCCGATTTCGCGTCCCGAAAGGAACCGTTCATGCAACATCACTTGTCCTCCTCCTGCTCACACATGTGTATTCGACTGCGAATGATTTCATTGTCAAATATTTCAATCCCAATGTGTTTTTGGTACATTCGTGAATATTCGCTTGGCTTAATTTTGTGCTCGTTTTACGAGTAACACAGCAGCAACACATTTTAGTACCGCGGTATTTGCCAGTCCAAGTAGCACCGCGGATGATTCTTCAATCCAGAGCCCTGATTATTATAACATGTTGGCTTGTCTTCAACCGGACACTTACACCAAACCTGCATGTTTGTTTGCATCCGCGTAAACGTCCGCTGCAGTGTTATTCACAAATTCGCCACGTGTGAAAACCGACAAATGTTTTGTACGAGCGAAACGTAATAAAAGGGCTACACGAAACAGTTTTCTCACATTAAAAAGGGGTTTTGATTGATAATAAGTTTATTGTCGATGGTAGAAGCGCGTCATCTGGAAATCACCAAAATTAAATCAGTCAAGGAACAAGACTACTGCATGTTTCAATAATAGCGTACGTTTTTGTTTGAAGCGAACACATTAATAATTACAATGGGTTCCCAAACATAATCAAACTTCGAGATACTCTTTTCCATGAGTGACGTTTTCTGTGCGATATCTCAGTGTATTTGTTCACCGAAATACAGATGAGGAAATTGAAATAAAAAGCTGTTGCTGGTTAGCGTTCGGTGGACAGCTAACAGGTGCACATTCCTTGCAGACGCGCATAAATACATGTCCCTGTGTGAAACGTTTATTGTACGCTAAAAAAAATAATGTGGACCAAGCATTTGGGCGACACTATATGAATGTCTTGTAGCGTTACTGGTTTGTATATATATATATATATATATATATATATATATATATATA